ATGGATATTTAACCTCCACCACCCATCGATTTACCGTGACCCTGAAATCCGCACAAAGTCTTAATTTACCATTTGCCTTTTTAACTGGCACTAACGGGGTTGCCCATTCACTATACCCCACAGGAATAATAATGCCGTCCTTCACCCATCTATCTAATTCCTCATCGATCTCCTTCCTCCATTCGAAAGGAACTCGCCGACAAGCCAAAAAGATCGGTGAAAAACCCTCCCTAAGTTGAACATCAACTTGATAATCATTTAAACAACCTAGTTTTTCATCAAAAATAATTCCATACTGCCTCACTAGAATAGGAATAGCTTGATTAACCTTATTCCAATCCTCTTTTCCCCCGGCCACAATTTGCTTCTCATTTCCCTCATTATTATGATTCAACTTACTCGATTCCTCCATTATCTCCTCCGAAATTTCACAAATTTTATTATCCGTATTATCCAAATTTTCACTCTCTCCAACATCCATTATTACATTATCACTAGTATCAAAAATATTCCAATAATTATTGGGAGGACCAAGCTTGGTAATCCAATCCCACCCCATAACAGTCTCAACATTTTCCTTTACTACCCATAAATCAAGGAAAAATATAGTATCATTAAGATTAACCCCCAATTTGGCCTTTCCCAACACAGCGACTTCCGACCCATCAAATTGCCTGACACACATAGCCTCTTTTTCCAGTTTACCCCCAGGCCAATACTTATAAAAATTCTCCTGCGACATTAGGGAAATACTAGCCCCGGTGTCAAATAACATCTCTATATTCCTATGGTCAATTTTCAAACTAACCCTCGGACACAAACATGGTCCATCTAATCTCTCCGTCATTAAAATATCATATGTTTTAATCGGAGAATCAGCGTTTATTTTATCTAAAATAATAAATTCATTGGCATTCTCATTGCCTCTTAAATTCAACTCGGAATTTAAATTTTTATTACTGACAATTACATTTCTTTTAACAAGATTCGTGGGACATCTTTCCCAAATAAAATTCTTAACATCCTTTCTAAAAGAATAACGAACAATATTCCTCGGATATTGTTCCCACCTAAATCGACTAACTTCCCTCTCAGAGAAATTACGAGAATGATTTCTTATTTTAATTCTATCATTTCCCTCATTTCGACTAATAATATATGTTTTATTATACAAATTTTTCCGAACTCTCGGAGCCCCAACTCCTATATGATTCACCTTGCAATCATATAGTCAACACGAATTTCGTGATACTTCCATGCAGTCCACAGCTACATGTCCCGGCCTTTTACACTTAAAACATAATCGGACCCCATTTAAACTAACCATTTTTACATTGGCATTTCCTATATCAGATCTCTTTAACGGAAATCCATCTTTAAACCTTTGCTCTGGGACTACGCAGGTATCCCTTTTATGTCCTCGCCATCCGCAACGATGGCAAATGATCATTTCAACAAATCTTTTATTTTCCTCGTAATCATTAAATTTCTTATTCATATTTCTATCACTCACCTGGCTCTTAACCGGACCTTTGCTCTCCTTCATCAACGCATTGATGGCTTCTTTCATTTCTTTCATTTCCAGGAGGATCCTATCTGACCTCTCCCCAACATTTCCAGCCTTGATTTCCTCTAAAACATCTTTTAGATTACTTTCCAAGTCTGCTATTTTCTTCCCATAAATATCCGATATTAAATTAAAATACGTTTCCTCCATTTCCTTTTTATAAACATCTGACACCGCAGTGTCCTTCTTCCAATTGCAATACATGCCTGCCAGTACCGCAGTACCCCTTTTTACCAACAATTTCAATATAATAATCAATAAATACATCATTAATAATATTCCCACAGTAATCAACTGTTTACCTAAATCCAATTCATTAAAGTTCTTATACATAACTTTATAACCCAAATCCTTATAAAAGAGAACCTTATCCCCAAAACTATACTCCCCACTAGGCCTAAAAAAATAAACCATTTGCTCATAAATTTTTTTTAATTAATACTAATAATCAATTACAAAAATTTAAATATTTGTAGAAAATATTAATACAGCACCTAAAATAAAAACTTCTCTATTAGAATCGTATAATGGTAGTACAAATGCGCAGTCAAAAATTCTTAAAAAAAATTATATAATTAAAAATTTTTTGTTTTACCTTCTAAACCGAATAACTCCTAGGAAACTATCAGCGTCACAAGACACCACTAAAAAAAAATTTAAAACTTTACTCGAAATCTAAACTTATACACTAAAAAAAATCCTAAACACCAACTAAGAGAAAAAACAGAAACAACTTAAATAAACTCTCGAAACTAAAAAAACTGTCAACAAATATGCAGAATTACTAAACTCAGAAATACTAAAGAATTCCTTTATTCGTAATTTTTTAAAATACAAAAATCATTAATTTTACACATATAAGAAAAATCTATTTTTTTTTAAACACAAAAAAAAATAATAATCAATATATAATATATATTATTACATCTAATTTAATTTCCAATCAACCTTATTTTAATCGGTTGATTGGCATTTCCCGTAAAAAATATAAAATGTTCGCGTATTTACAAATACGACAAATATCACAACAGATACCATAAATTAAAATGAGATAAGCTATAATATTAGTCATTATTCACCTTTTTTCCATGATTAGACATATATCCGTTCTCATAGCTGCCTAGATTAACGCCTTCGTGAGAGAGGAAATTGGAAAGTAACTTCTCTGATTTTTACCTCACCCCCCTCCCCTCCTTAAACTCATTTTTTTTTATTCTCTACAACGGTAGAATAAAATATGTTTATTTATATTTTACTATCCAAAATTTTAAATTGCTTTTTTAGATACATGCTCTGGTTCATTTATATTTTATATTAAATTTGTTTAAATAGTGATGTATATATTGTAGTCGTCGAAATATGAAATTTAATTTTTTCTAAAACTGAAAAATTTTGAGATAGTTTTCTATAAGAATATAAAAAAAATTTTGGCTTTTTGAAACAATCAATATAATATAACATATGATATTTCTCTATATAATTTTACTGGTTGGTTTATAAATCTCTCCATGTTCACTCCTATTGTTGGGTCACATACAATAGTTTATACAATTTGCTTGGCAAGGCATATAAATTTTTTGAACAACATATTTATGTTGACCTTCTCATTATCACAAATACCTTATGTCTTGTATCTAGTGTTGTCAAACGGCTCGTTTTGAGCCGATTTTAAAAAACGTCTAAATCAAAATTTTAGCCAGAAAAATATTGCCTAAGCTTCGAGATTTCGCTATTAAGTGTTTAGACTTTCGAGCCACATATGATCAAAATCTTCAGATTAGCGCAAAGTTTATCTGGGTAAAATATTGAGTTAGCCATTTTTAAAAGTCGGATCAAATTGAGCCGTTTAACAACACTACTTGTATTTTATATCTATACTTTTATCTGCATCTAAAATACATTTTTTAATAAAGATGTATATTTATCTATTTTTTTTTATAAAGATCTGTTAAAACTCTTGAAATAAACTATATAATAATATTATACTTAGAAAAAATTAATTTTAAAAAAGTTGAGAATTGGTCGGATTGAGGTGGAAAAATAAATTCAGAAAAATTGAAATTTTAAAAAAATATGAGGGATAACCTAAAAGGTCTTTATTCTATTGTATATAAAACCTATACCCCGCCCCTCCTATAATTTTATTGTAATTATTATTGCACACTCTCTCTAAAAGATTCGGGGCCGTATCGACAGGCTCGCTTAGATGGGGTAAGGGAGGGTTCCATCACGATCACCCAACGGTCAAGGGTGAGAACTTGGGGACCTGGCTTTAGTGGCGGTGCTTTGACCATGATTAGATATTAGTTTAAAAGTAAGCGGGGAGTTATTTGCATGGAGTGACCTTAGCCGTATTCCAGATCAACCAATAATTTTTCCTAGAATTAGACATCATTAAAGTTAAATAGGAGATATAAAAAGGGGAAATTTGGGTATTTAGTAGCAAGGAATGCTTTTTATTGAATAGAAGGGTAAATACCATGCGCGATTATTGAATTGGAGACAAAACATCACGGTTTAATTATTCAAATCAATTCCTTATTAATTCATTTTGTATTTATTACAATTTCATCATATAAACATCTCGTGATCATGATACAGAAATAATGTGAATTAAGAAAAATTAAAACGTTTTTGTAAAATAAAAATTAAAAAGTCACACATATTGTTATGTTCTATCTCCCCACTTGTCCCATATAACTTTTCTTTTCTTTACGTTTTTTTTTCCTCTTGCTTCTTTTGTTTTCCCATCTTCCTTTTTTTTTGTTATGAAATTGATAATATACCTTATTTTTATATTGCAAGATTGATTGTATCGCGATTAAATAACAACCTTTTTTTTTCTCTTTGTTTGGAAAAATTATAAAGGTTGGAAAAATACCTTTTTCTTGACCATTAAATATTTTTTTTGTGTGAAATTTATATACATTTTTTTTTTGATTAATTATTGGATGAATTTGATTTATTTTTAATTTTGCTTTGTAACTTCGACTTTAATAAACTTTAAAAATATTATTTCCACTACGTTGTCCGAGTGATTCCATGACAAAATCGATAAAACCCGGCCCCCTGGATCCCGTCATCGACCATCCCTGACCCCCGCGGACCGTATTTTTCCCACTCAGACAGGTGGACCCATCGGTCCAAATCCAACACATATCCTCGTATATATTTATACCCATTTTTGGTTGAAAACAACTCTTAGGTTTTGACCAGTTTCTAATACCTACTGGCAGTCTGGGGGAGAAAGTTTAAAAGAATAATGTAAACAATTTGTTTTATCAAGAAAGAGATGTATAAAAAACAATCATAAAGACTCAAAAGTTATAAAGAAAGATCTCGAAACATTATACTCTTGTTGATGAAAAGTACTGGTGTCAATAAGGGTTTAGTTGTACAGTGAATATTTTAGAAAAATAATAATATATTTCGATATTCCTTGTTAATGTTAAATTAAATATATTTCCTTTTTTATTCATTATGGAGGTCTTCGATACACTTGAAGGATTTAAATCCAACATATGGGACGAACCTGGTCATAATGAAGTAATAATTTAGGTGTAATTATTTAAGGCCTAATATTTTATTAGTTTATCCATAGTAGCATATCTAGCGGAAATTCTGATTTAGACTTTGACGATGTTGATATTAATTTTAGTGGTAATTACGATATGGGATCTGATGAAAGTACAGAAAATGCCGAAGATCATTGTTATTCACATATAAATTCTATATTGAAACTGTCTACAAAACTTGAAGATTTTAGTAAAGGTGAGAAAATATTTATTAACAATAGCTAAATTATTTAAGATCTAGATTCAGAAATATACACAGATGCACTTCAAATTTTGCCTGATAAAATTATATCTATTCAAAGTTTAAATACAGGTATATTATATTTTTAACCAATGAAAAGAAAATATAATCTTGTTTGTAAATATATTATTTACCATTAATTATAGCTGTCTAGAACTAATTTTATTAAAATTATTTATTTATAGCTATATTTGACATATACATGGTGTGATTGTTACTTACAATTGCCAATTTAATTGAAATATAAAATTTCTCATTTTAATTATATTTTAAAATAAATATGTAATTTGTAATTAATATAAAAATATACTATGCTAAAGAATAAAATCAAAATTTTAATAAAATAAGATGTGTATAATTATTTAATATTGTAAAATATTATTAAAAATTTTATTTATTATTAATTTATAAAATTTTACAAAATCACTAAAAAAAACAGCTAGTTTTTTATTTCTAGAAACTTTGTAGAAAAACCAAAGATTGATAGGCTTATAGTCTTGCTCTAAAAACAACGTATCTTGGATTAGGTAGAAAGATGGTATGATTTAAAAAGTCCTGGCTCAGCTTAAAGAAATTTAAAAATTTAGTGCTGATCAAACATAAAAATAAAAATAAACCTATTTTTGAAAAATACATTTAAATTATATCAAATTATATACTGAAGCATTTTACATTAATTTGCTGCTGCTCATTGCAATTTCCCTTTGGAACAATTTGTAAAATATAGTCAAAATTATAAATTTTAAGATTTTAGGCCCCAAAAACTGATTTTTCTTAAACTTGGGTGTATCCCTAATTAAATAAATATCTAAATTATCTAGGTATTTTTTTTTGAAAAAATCTATTTTCACTTGTATACATAATTTCATCTTCTGACATCTAAGTGATTCCTACATTATACCATTTATAATTTTATATCAAAATAATTTCATTTCAAATTAGACAAGTGTCCAATTTATTATGGCATATTATGATAATTAATAACAATGTTATAATTTTATGCTTAGGGCATTTTGTATAATATATTGAGCCATCTACTTTTCTTAACTTAGATAGACATCTTTATTACCAAGAACCAGCGAAGTTTCATTTTAAGTTTTTTTTTAAATATATCATATTACAAAAATTGAATTCTTATTAAATAAATGATTATATATATATATATGACATTTATTCAATCAATGAAAGTTTTTTAAAGTTGAATGTTATAAAATTTTAAATAATTTTTTTTTATTTCATCTAAAATGATTGCAAAATATTTAAGTATTCCCTTGCTATAATATTAATTATAATTTCTTAGAAAAAGGCCCTGACATTGGGGTCTGCAATGGCCAGCTTTTTAGATCCCCCATTATTAAAGCGCATTGGGTCATTCTATCTAAAATGAGCAAGAAAATCAAGATTTTCGGTCGATCCCTTTCAATTTCGATATAAAATTATAGACTGGTTATATATGTTAACATTAGATAAACAAAATTTTAGCGCATTAGCAACTATATTAGCAGAGATAATCGGGGTTAAAGGTCCAATAAACGTCTTTTTTTTTGCTTTTTACTGATGTTAAATAATTAGTTTTTAATTTAAAACTGGATATGATCAAATATTGAATCTAATATCAATAGCTAAGTTAATAAATGTTAATTATGGCGAAAAAATCAAAATTTAATTTTTTTTAAAATATGGGTCATCTTATGGTCAGGTGAAAAATTGAAATTAATATCGAAATGAATATGATATCCAATTTTTAATTTTTTTAAGAAATATTATTCGTTTACTATTTTTTTATTAATATCTTCAACAATTAGCGTGGCTGGATATTTATTTTAAAAATTATTGCTATTTTATATTTTTAAAAATTAGATGGCTCTATATATAATAGATTTAATATGATAAAATTCATTTGTTTTATTGCTTAAAAATATTCTCAAGTATAATATATCATAAAATTCGGTTATATAACTTTGTAAACCACATTCCCGTGAGATATTCACAGGATAAAAAATTTTAATAATTTTTTTAATATTTAAATGTAATTTAAAAATAATTAAAAAATTTGACTAAAGGCAGGATTAAAGGAGTGCAATAAAATTATTAAGGGGAAAATCACATTAATTACTAGGCCTAAGATTCTTTTATGGAATTGTCATTATCTGAGATAAACAAAATTCTAGTTTTTTTCGAAGAATAAATATTTTTTGCTAAAAATTTCTATGATCAAAGTCTTTGAATTTTGAGCAAATGTTTAACATTAAAAAAATTAATCAAATAATCCAGATAGTATCTTTTATTATATAAAAAATAAACTGATTATTAAAATTAATAAGCGAAAATAGTGAAAACACTAACAATAAATCGCAGTTCAGTTGCTATAAATACAAATTAATTTCTTTAATATTTTTTCACAAATTGTAAAAATAGTACTTGATTCATTTCTTTAATATTTTTCTAATTTAAAAAAAACTAATTTTTATATTTTTACTTATCTTTAAAAATAAATAAATTTTTCTAAATGAAACCTTTAAAAGATAAGCTAAAGTGTTGCAATCCACTGAATAAACCAAAACATAAAAATTTTAAAAAGAATTTACGTTCTCTACTACCTTGAATGCTTAATATAAATAGTGATTTATATCTTCAACAAACAGTTAAGTAAAATTGGTCCACACATTCCCGAAGCATTTATATCCAATCAAGATCCCTTTCAATCGATTAATGAAACATTCATTACACAATATTGAAGAATCACCAATAAAAAAACGTTTAATAAAGACTAAGATTTTAGAAATATCTGATTCCGAGAATGATAGTCCAATGAAAGTGGAAATTCTTATTTTATTAAAAGATAACTTTGATAAATTATCAAAAAATCAACAATATCAAATTCTTACAATTTGAGGAATTCAACGTAACATCATACATGACAAAAAATCAAAAATGGTGGTAAGAAAGTGGAATTCTTTCATTCCCAAAACATAAGGCAGGAAAGACACTAAACGAAAGCATTTAAACTCGTCAAAGATTTTTATAGTTCTGATGAAATAAGCCGACTCATGCCTGAAATAAAAGATTGTGTATCTGTTAAAGGCGAGAAAGAACCAGTCCAAAAAAGACTAATATTAAATAATCTTAAATAAATATTCAAGATGTTTAAGGAAGAATACCCAAATATATCAATTAGATTCTCTAAATTTGCCGAACGTAGGCCAAAAAACTGTATTTTAGTTGGAGCTAGTGGCTCACACACTGTTTGTGTCTGCGCCATTCATCAGAATGTGAAATTAATGACAAATGTAATAGCTGAAATCACAGCAGGAGAAGATTACTGTATAAATTCTTATAACTATCTTTTGGCGCAAATTATTTGTAAGTCAAAATGTTATTTAACAAATTGTGATTAATGCCCTGGTATAGATCTCTTAAGGGCCAATTATACCTATTATTTCAGAGAAATCGTACAAAATATGTCATGTTTAAACAATGGATCACGGTGGATAGAACAAATCTTGAAACTATTATAAAGTCCGTTGATGATTTCTCGATTATTTATTAGAAAAAGTTCAAATTTTACTGCGTCACTCGTTTATAGCTAAACAACAAACTTTATTTTGAAGAATTCCAAAGAAAATTTAAAAGATGGGGAATTTTTAACAATTCTAGATTATTCTAAAAATTATTCCTTTACTTTACACGATGAAATTCAGGGATTTCATTGGAACAACGTGCAGGCCACTATACACCCAATTCTAGCATATTATAAATCTGGAGAAGATTTAAAAAATATAAATTTTGTTATTATATCCTAATCATTAAACCATAATACTAGTGCAGTCCATCAAAAATTTTTTATTAATTTCTTAACAGTCAAATTTAATTCTAAACCAGAAAAAATAATATATTTTTCAGATGGAGCCGCGTCTCAATACAAGAAGCGCAAAATTTTCTGAACATATGCCTTCATACATACGATTTTAATATACTGCCGAATGGCACAACTTCGCCACTGCTCACGGCAAATATGCATGTGACGTATCGGAGGAACTGTCAAAAGATTAGTTGCCAGAGCTAGTCTTCAAAGCCTAAATAAAAATCAAATTTTAACCCCATTAGAATTATATAATTATGCTAAAATAATTTTTATGGAATTTAATTTGAATATATATCCAATCAAGAATACATCGAAGGAGTAGCCTTTCGTAAAAGATTTAATTCTGCACTGCCCATACATGGGACCCAAAAAATTCACGGGGTTATTCCCAAAATAAACTAAAAACCAAAATATATTCAAATTCCAAAAAATATAATATAAAACAAGTTTCGTTTTTAAATGAGAAAATTATATTTAAAAATATTAATGGATATGTAACATGTGTATATGAAGACAAATGGTGGTTAGGATTTATAATCGTTAAAATGATACAAATGAAGAAATAAAAATCCGATTTTTTACACCCTTGTGGACCTTCAGCCTCTTTAAATTTCCTCTGATAGATGATATTTTAGTGTTGCCCAAATCTAATATTCTCTCGCTGGTCAATCCTTCTACTCCCACCGGCCGAACATATATATTATCTCCTGAAGAAATCTCACAAGCCAGCCAGGCTTTGTATTTCTTTAGATGAAGTAAGATTTAATTAATTTATAAACTATCTTAATCAGGCAAAATTTGTGAAGATTTTAAAAATTTCATGATCTGAATTACAAATAAATATATATAATGCACATTGTAATCGATTTATTATGATATATATATATATATACGTTAAAATATTTTTAATCAATAAAAAAAATGAATTTTAACATATTAAAACTATTATATATAGCACCATCTATTATTCTAAAAGTATAAAAATCGAAATATTTTTTTAAATAAATATCCAGCCATGCTAATTGTTGAAGCTATTATTAAAAAAATAGTAAACGGATAATATTTCTTAAAAAAATTAAAAATTGGAGATCATTCTTCAATTGACCATAAGATGGCCCATATTTTAAAAAAAATTAATTTTGATGTTTTCGCCATAATTATCAATTATTAACTTAGCTATTGATATTAGATTCAATATTTGATCATA